TTTTCTCTTATCCATTTGGTCTAAACATCTTGGGAGTTTGTACTCCCAACTCACTTCCTATTTTAGTTTTAAACATAACTGTGTATATTTCTAATATCTATTGGCTTACTTTAAAAAATCATGTCTGCTTAGTCTGTTACACTAGTAAATATTCCTTTCACTTAGTTACAATATCTTTTAAATTTATTCGTAGTTTAAGATTACTAATGAATTTCTTTCAGTTCTTGATCTCAAATTCTATTTTGCTTTAGTCTTATACACATAGAGGAGCATATCATTCTAAAAACATGATGTTGTGCATATATACATAAAGCTAACAGAGATTCAGAAGAACATTTACATTCCGAAGGTGCAAAAAAGTCAGGCTCAAGCTTAGTAACAATCCCGGAGGAGAAAATGTCATGTCATTATGTGGATAAATGCATGTTATTGTCAGGTGCAAAAAAACTGTATAAATATAATTTGTGATATTTTTCCTGGAAAATGAAATAGACAAATCAAGAGTTTAAAAAAGCGGTCCCAAATCATGAGTTCAGTGAAGAGTAAAGAGATGCAACTGTACTCGTTTGATATTAAGAGATGCAAGGAATCTAAATCAGGCTTGGTGTGAGGAGCTTGTTTGTAGAAAAGTGAATAAAAGGTGATAATGCATCATGGTGGGGTGGGGTTGAAACGGTGAGTCTACGGGGTGAGTGCAGTGATATCAAAGGATACATTAAATGGCAAAAATGCACTGACTAAAGGTTACTGAGAACCAGCTGTGTGCCAGGCTCCAAATTCAGCAGGTTACATGTACTCGCTGTCATATTACACCAACTCTTCAAAATGGGCGGGGTTGTGCATATTTACACATGGAGAAACTAATATTTCATATTTACACATGAGGAAATTATTATTTCAGAGATACTATTTTTCATTTACCTAAAACAGCAGAGAGAAAACATGAAGCCAAGTGTTTGAGGCTCTGAAACTACATTTATCTCACCACTCTGCTCTATGGTTAGAATATTTCATCATTCCTTATTTAAACATTTCTGCTCAGCTATTTCATTGAAGACTCACTAGCCCCTGCCTCTAATGCGTACCTTTTAGGGAAAAACAAAACAAAACTGAATCCAGCAAGCAAAATTTCTCAATTTATCCTGTAGGTGCCACTATAACCATATAATATCTCTTTCTAGCTCTCCAACTCTGATTTCTCAGGGCTGGCTGCCATAGACCAGAAATTCTAGAAGATAGAAGAAGGCAATTTATGTAGCTGACAGTTCATTTTGATAAATCTCTGCGTGTATTTCCAGCTCTGTAGCTTCAATATATATGTAATAAATGCATTTTTCCTTTTTAAAAAGATTTCTAAGCTTTTGAATAGAGAATGTTTACATTATTCAAAAATAGAAAGTATAAAAAGGCATATAATAAATAATCTCCCTTCCACTACCAAGTACCCTTGTCTGTCCAGTTCTTATTTGTGACCTCAAAACAGATGACCACAGTTAGTCAACTCTTGTATCATTCCAGAGTGTGTGTGTGTATATATATATACACACACACATTTTTATATATAGTTACACACACACACATATATATACTTGTTACTGCCTCATTTGTTTACACAAATGGCAGCATATTATAGAGACTATTCTGTAATTTGTTTTTTCACATAAAAATATATATTAGAGATTTCTATATCAGTGTATAAAATGTTTCTTTATATTTTTACACAACTGCATAGTATTCCATTGTATGAATGTACAATAATTCATTTAGATATTTCCTGTTGATGAGCAATTAGATTGATTTCAAGGTGCTTGCTACTTTCTGTTTACCAACTCCAATTAACATAATATCAATATAATAAACTTATGAGTCAAAACTGATTATTACCAGGTCCCTGTGACTCATTAAAATAATCACTCCCATTTTATCTCTGATGGTAAAGCAGAGACACTTGGCATCTACCATTCTAGGATCTTATTATTCCCATGAAATCAGACCCCATTCCAGGGCAACATATCTCTCATTATCACATGCCTACTAAATCTAGCTTTTAATATAGAACTCTATAAGGAACTTTTTAATAAATAAAGGATGATGAACAAAATATCTTCTGATCTCTCTTGCTAGTTATAATTGGGTGTGAGAGGTGGCTATGTAACCTATATATAAAGAGATCCACTCAACATTTCCACATTCACAAGTCTTTGAACTCTGCCATGTACAACTTACTCAAAAAATTTCAGCCTCACAGCCTCATTAGCAGTAGGTCAACAGTGCCCAGGCTTCAGTTAATCACAGCCAGGTGCTCCAGCCAACACATTAAACTATGAATCCTCTGTGAGCAACTCTATCTATAAATGTGGCCAGATATCATCTTACGTTTCATCTAACACACTTAGAAGCATTGCTTTTGTACGCTCCCTAGATCCCTACCAATACAAGTGGACAAGATGTCTCAACTCATTCAGAACATTTTTAATCTCCTCCCAGAGCCAGCCTCACACTCTCCCTTTGGGCTCTGCTGGTATTTAACTCTTACCGTGGGTCTGGAGGTACATGAGGGTTGGCAAGACTGTGTTGGGGAGGATTGATTCCCCTTGTGAGAGAAATGCTCTAGGTTAAGTCAACAAAAGAAATTTATGTAAAGGAAATCAAAATCCCTTGGGCAAGGGGAAAAACGGATGGGCTTCTTAACTAGGCAAGGAAGATTCTGGGAGATTTCAGGGTTCAAGACTCTCAGTCTTGCATGGTTAACCAACTGTTTCTACTCCAAGTCTCAGAATCCCACTCCTTATTAACAAGTGCCTTCAATGGCACATGATACCTGGAGATGTCGAACATTTAAATGCTGCTTCTTCTCTGCATCGTGTACAGTCAGTCCTCGGGCCTAATATTTAGTCACGTGTGCACTCTACAAATAAGAATTATTTTAATATCACCATTGAAGCTTTTTGATTCTCTCCTTGTTCTCTATGTTGGAAGTTCAAGTCTAGTCTTCAGGCTTTTATTTTCTTTGTCTAGCTCTGTAAGGCCATTAGGAGTAGCCAGACCACAAACTGCAATGACCACATGTTGCCATAGGTATTAAGAGCTATGGTCATTTGATCGTGCTTTGCCATTCACTTCTACTGCATCCCACACCAATGATAACTTGAGTAATTATAATATTGTTGCATACTACAGAGTACGCTAGAGGATGCTGTGTGCTGCACTCAGTAGAGGTCAGCCTCCTGGACCAAACGCATGGCAGAAAAGGACCAAATGCATGGCAGAAAAGAATGGAAATGAGGCGGGGAGGCCAAGGGAGAATAACCAGCATACTGGTCTTTCTCTTGTGCAAGGATGTATGTACAACAAATTCATAGAAGTAGACTTTTTGGACGAAAGGGTAGATGTATTTGTAATTTTAGTGGAATTTTCAAACTTCGCCTCATAAGGGTTCTATTATAGCAGGTAATACTTCCTCCAATCCTGTGTGTGACTGCCTTCTGCCCCAAAGCTTGTTTACCATGTGTTACCAAATGCTTCGGACTTTTATCGATATGAGAAGTGAAAAATGTTATCTGTTTAGTTTCAACTTGCATTTCTTTTTTCTATGATGGGGTATGACAGCTTTCATATAAATTCAGTTACAAGTGGTAGAAAATGCAACTCAATTGGTTTAAGGATAAAAAGAAATATTCATATAAAATAAAATCAGTGGGTGCATTTGGAGACAAGCTTCAATCCAAGAATCCAAAGATCTCATCAAGCCTGGCTCTGCTCCAATCTCTGTCTCTGTTTCTCTCTCTCTGTCTTTCTACCCACCTGCCCCACCTCCAGGAAGTACCGGGCCTTCATTCTCATAGCTTCCACTTTGACAGAAAGGCCTAGACCTGACTCTAATTGACTTCAATTTTATCATGTATCTATCCCTGAACCATCACTGAAGAGTGGGGAGGCACAGCTTTGTTTGTCCAGGCCTGAGTCACAGGAATAGCACATCCTTCTACCCGTTCATACATGTGCAGAAGTGCCGGTGTCAATATAGTGCGGCTATGCTGCTCACAATAAAAACTGTGCCCACCCACATCTCAGAGAGAGGTGAGGTGAACAGCCCGAATCTCATAAATAAACTTGTTGTCATTCTAAGTCCAGAATCTTTGGGTGATGAATATTTTTCTTGTTCGGGTCCTAACGTGGTTTCTCATAGTCCAGCAAACTGTGATTAAATGAAAACCGTAATTCACATTATACACTTAACAGGGAGACATGATCGCAATTGAAGTAAAGGCTTTCAATTGGTTTTCCAGAGTTGAGGTGAGCTATTTTGTCATATGACTTTAGCCACCCTGGAAGTGTCTCTCCCGTCCTTTATCTTCCATGGCCCATTTAAAGTGAGGACTTTCAGGAGGATGCCCCTTCCATGGACTGCATCTGTTCACCATCTCATTTTCTGAGTCAGTGGATTTGGGGGCCTGGAATTGCCTCAGGGATTGAGCAACTGAAGCCTACTCTTTGTCAGATTTGGGGTTTCTCTGGCTAAGAAACTCCCTTCAGAAGTTAAGAGACAACAGTCCTTTAAGGTGAGTTTTATTATCCTCATTTCATAGGTGTAGCCTCTAAGCTCAGTGACAAAGCCAATATATGTTATCAGAGTCTATTTTTACCTCTCTATTCCACATTGATTCTCTGTGTGCCTTATATAAAAATAGTTTTGTTTGCGATGTCTCCATTATTTTTAGTAAAACTTTTACATCTAGCAACTCTAAGTGGAAAATTCACGCTCAATACCTGCCCTCTCTATGCCATGCTGATTTCCTCTGCCAGTAAGAAAACAATAATAATAATAATTAAAAAAAAAAAAAAAAAAACAGGAAAAATTCTCACTTTGTCCTGCAGGTGCCACCCTCATCATAGAACATCTATTTCCAGCTTTGTAGCACAGATCTCTCAAGGCTGCAGTAGTCCAGATATTCACAGAAAATGGAAGAAGCTGGTTCGTTCAGCTTATACATTTCACTGCCTGGATCAATAAGGTTGATGCATGGTTATTTATTTATTTATTTATTTCACTGCCTGTTGTTTCACTGACTCCTCCACCCCACAAAAAAGCACCAAGAAACAAGTTGAAACATTTCCATTTGTCCTGTAGGTGCCACTGTAACCATAGGATATTTCTTTACACATCTGCAACTGGTTCTCTCAAGGCTGGAAAGGATTAGAAATTCTAGAAGATGGAGTCTCGTCTACGCACAATTCAAATTAAGGACCCCTCACACTCTGCCCGTGGGTTTAGAGTTCCGTAGCTCCAGCATAGAAGTGAAACATTTTCCCCTGGAATTTCTTCACTGCCTGTTTTTAAATTGTTCTGTAGCCTGTAGGTCCTAGTGAGAAAATTTAAACATTTATATTCATTTAGTTTTTGAATAAGTAATGTTTTTATATGGCTCAAAAACAAATTAAAATGATAAAAAGAATATGCTAAAAAATTTCCCTTTTACCTATTCCATATCAAAGGTTAGCAATGCTATTAGTTTCTTTTGTACTTCCAGAGACCATTTTATGCACATACAAACAAATATTTTAAAAGTGACTTTTTATTTTGCATGATAATGTACTATAAAGCCTTTTTTTCTTTGTCTTAATTATTCCACATAACACTATATCTTGGAAATCCTGTATATCAGTACATAAAAATTCCTCTTTGCCCCCATCTCTCTAGCTTTGGAGTATTCCCAGTTTATGGATACACCAAAATTTATTTACCCAGTTCTCTATTGATGAACATGTAAGTTGATTGCTTTGCTATTTAAAATAATACTGAAATGAGCTGTTTTGTATAGGGCCCATTTTGCATGTGTGTCAATATATCTAAATAAATCTGAGAATTTCTGCTGAATTCCTCTGCCAGTAAGAAAAAATTAATTAAAAAACAAAAATTCTCACTTTGTCATGCATCTGGGGATACATGTATTTGTCATGTTTATGGGCATTTTCAAATTGCCCTTCACAGGGCTTATACCAGTTTATGCTCCTGGCAGTCATGTAAAAATTGTCTATTTCCCAAAAGCTTAGTCAACACAGTATGTTTTGAATTTTTGCCAATCAATCTGAGAGTTAAAAAAAGTTGTATCAATTGTTTTCTTATTATTATGAGTTTGAGCATCTTTTGGTTTAAGAGCCATTTGATTTAGAACTGTTTTGATTGCAAGCAATAGAAAGCTGCAGTCTACCTGGCTCAAGCAAGAAGATGTTTGTTTTCTCATCACTGAAAAGCCTGGAGGTAGATGTAGAATTTCCAATGGGCTGTACTCCAAAGGCTTAAATGTCACCCCCAACTGTGGTTTCTCATTTGTGCTCTCACTCTCTCTTACTCTCATTTTCACTCCAGCTCCCTCTGTCTTTGCCCTGTCCTTTGACAGGCTCTCTTTCCCTTCATTCTCACAGCTCCAATCTCAGCAGAGAGATCTTGCTTGCCCTGAGTCTCTCTGACCTGAATTGGACAGGATGCAGTGTTTTGACTGGCCAGGCCTGAGTCATACAACCACTTCTGGAGCCGGGGATAGAGCCAAAATCACTCCAACTAGATGAATTGAGAGATGTGAGAGATGTGGATTCCGGGTGTCCAACAGAAGATCAAAGTGACTTTACATGAAGAAAGGCAAATAAGCGCTGGCTTGGCTAACAACACAGGTTGTAGCTGTAATTCACACCTTCAATAACACCCTGTCCCCTCTACTCTCATATATCCCTTCAAAAACGCCAGTTCCTACCTAATGAAGCCATAATTAGATACCATGGAAAGTGCACTTTCCTCTTCTCAGAGGGAGACAACACAAAGACTTACCTAGTTATTGCTCCAAGTTCAGGATTTCTGGGCGATTCTTCTTAGTCAGGTCCTGGTGTGGTGGTTCCTTCTGGCTCAGCAAACTACGGCTCCAATACAACCATAAATGCAATACATGAAGGGACAGAGAAAGAATAGGATAATTACCAAAAAAAATCATCCATTTGATAAGGAAGAGAATGGGAAACAGCAAAAAGTAGTCTCTGCTATGTAGCAATTCCTATGATGTGCAGAACTGGAAGCACGAAGTATCCTGACCTGGAGGTGATGTGAGCTCCTTAGCCAATCTGGCTGTCCTGATGAGTTCTCTGCAAGGATCTCCTTTGTCCCTTATCTTCTGTGGCCCCAGTGAACTCTGGGTGATGTAGCCCACAGGTTTGGAGACCTCTTCTGTGGGCTACATCTCCTTAGCAGCTCACTTCCTGCTGGGATAGGTTTGGGGTGTTTAGGATTGTCTTAAGGGTTGAGTACTCACAGGCCGTTGCTTTCCAGGTTTGGGGTTTCTCTGGCAAAATAAGTCTTTTAAAACACAGAGGCATTAACCTGTAATATGGATAGCATATTTCACATATTTCAGGTAGACACTATGACTCAGAAATGTTAAGTTCCTTTACCTAAAGCCATACAACAGGGGCGTAACAAAGAGCAGGTAACAAAGCCAATGTTTGAAATCAGGGATGTTTAGCTCTAAGGTCTAAGCTTCTATATGCTGGTATAAAAATTAGGTTTGCAATGACTAGCAACTGTAACGTCACCTCCTTATCTATGCCCTTCTAAACTTTGACTCCCCCTGCTCCACAAAAAAGCACCAAGAAATAAGCTGAAATATCTCCATTTGTCCTGTAGGTGCCACTGTAACATTGGGATATTTCTTTACAGATCTGCAACTGGTTATCTCAAGGCCGGAAAGGATTAGAAATTCTAGAAGATGGAGTCTAACGTACACACAATACAAACTAAGGACCCCTCACATTGCGCCTCTGGGTTTAGAGTTCCATAGCTCCAACATAGAAGTGAAATCTTTTCCTCTGGAATTTTATTTCATTTTTGAATAGGTTATGTAGTTACAGGTTCAAAAATTAAAATGTGCGAAAAGATCTTCACTGAAAAAGACTCCCTTTATCTCTGTCCTCTACGTAGGCTTTGCTATGCTATTTCACTTTTTGTATGTTCTTCCGGAGATTTTAATGCATATGCAACTAAATACGAACATAGATTCCTTCTCCCACCCCTTTAAGCATAAATTACAGCAAATTCTTCATATTATTTTCCTGTATTTTTCTAAACAGCTATATATTATAGAGAACTTTCCATTATCAGTTTCTAAAGAAATTTTTTATTCCTTTTAATGGATTCAGAGTTTTCCACCATGTAAATGAAATCACTTCTCCAGTGATGAACGTTTGATGCTTATTGTCTGTTCTTTGGAACAATGCTGTATAACCTTGTACATGCCTCATTTCACAGGATTGAGTATATATCTGTGGGACAAATTACACAAAAGCCTAATTGCTGGGTCGAAAGATACATGTATTTGCATCTTAACAAATATGTTTAATTTGCCTTCTTCAGGGGTTGTTAAACTGCTCATCAGTAAAATACGAGAATGCCTATTTCTCCTGGCCAACATAATGTGTTATCAATTTTAATTTAACTTTTTGCCAATATGATAGGTAGAAAATGTCATCTCATTTTTAATTTCTACTTTTATTATGAGTGAGGTTGAGCGGCTTTTAGTATGCACCATTAGGTATGGTTAGAAGTCTTTTTCAATTACAAGTGAAAAGAATCACCTCAGTCAGCTTTAGAAAAAGAAAGTTATTGTCCTTACAACAGAAAAATCAGAAGTAAATTCAGGGCTTCCAATATGCCATCAAAGGATTCAAACAATGCCATTGAAGTGTGCACGTGCTGTCTCTTCTCTCTCCCTTCACTCTTTCTCTCTCCTGCTCCCTCTGCCCAGACATTCTCCATTAGCTTGCTGGACTGGGAAGCTTCTAGATTGCATCCTCATAGCTCCTTCCTTGGGCTATATTTCTTTAGCATCTCATTTCCTATTGATGCAGGTTTGGGGTTGTCTCTGACATTGAGCAATCACAAGACCATTTTGGCGGCAAGGTTGGTATTCTATAAGTGACACAATTCACTTAAAATTTATTAGGCAAAACTGTGATAGGGTAGATATTATCATCCACAGTTTACAAGGGTAGAAACTATAACTTTTAATAAATGTAAATGCCTTTGCCTAAAGCTACCAAGACAGTAAATTATAGGAACAGGATTTGTATCCAGCTGTATCTGACGGTAAATCTACGGTGATGGTCAAAACACTTGTTCAACAACTCCAATAGAAAACCAATTATTATACCCCTATCCATAGGCCACCTCCACCTCTCTGAAAAATAAAAATAAAAAAGGAAACATAAGATTCTCACTGTGCCCTGTAGGTGCCACTGTTGCCATGGGATACCTCTTTTCAGCACTGCAGCACCGAGCTGACATTCTAGAAGGTGGAAGAAAGCCCGCTCGTCCAATTTATGCAGCTGACATTTCGGCACCAGCAATCCATATATGACTTAGAACTCCATAACCTCACTCTATTGTTATTGTATTTTTCGTTTTAATATATATATGTATATATATTTAAATATATATGTATATATACACATACACAAACATCCATATATATATATTAAAAAAATAGTTGTGAAGAGTTTCTGTAGTTCCCAAGATTTGAAAATACAAGGTACACAGTGAAAAAAATCCCCTTCCCAATCTTATCCCCAAACCCATGTTCCACTTCCACCCCGTGGATAACTATACTTCTCAGTTTATTTTCTATCTTTACTGAGATATTCATACACATATAAGCAAATATGAAAAGATATTCCCTTTCATTTTTCTATTTTCACACAAATATTTTATACAAACATCTGCACTTTCAAAAAAAAAAAACAAAAAAAAAAACAAAAAAATTTCTCCTAACATATCTTGAAGGTATGTCCATATTTAGAAAAAAAGAAATTCCTCATTCTTTTTTACAGCTCCACATATTACCCTGTATGATAATTTTTCATTTATCTGGGCCCTTATTGAAAGATTTTTGACTGATATATATTACTATTACAGATAATACTCTAAGGAATACGTGTTTACTTTATTTCACATGTAAGAGTATATCTGCAGAATAAATCCTAGAAATGAAATTATTGAGCAAAAAGGTAAATACATTTGTAATTTTGACAAATGTTTCCAAATTACTCATCATATGTATTGTACCATTTTAACACTCCCACCAGCAAAGTACCATAATTCTATTTTTTCATAACTTACACAAAAAATGAGTTATCAATATATTGGATATTTGCAAATCTGATTGTTGAAACTTGGTGTGTCCGTGTGGTTTTATTTTTATTTCTTGTATTCTAAGTGAGGTTATGCATTGTTTCATTTATTAAAGAACCATTGGATTTAGCTGAGATTTTTCCACTCACAAGGGTTAGAATACCAGACTCACAGTGACTGAATCAAAGAAAGGAAATTCATTTTTCACATAACTGGACAAGCATGGGCTTCAATTTCAAAGTCAAGGATCAGAGTCAGGATTAGAATTTTCCTAAGGAAAATTAGAGTTGTATAACATAAAGGAAAATGAATGAGTACCAAGATGGGTACCCAGCATCTACATGTATCTTTCTCCCTATACATACATCTCAAAAAGTGCTCATGTCTACAGAAAAATTTTAAAATCATTTACTCCTTATCTAGAGGGAGGCAACCTAGTGTTTATTACTTCAAATCTGGAGTATCTAAGTGATACACATTTTTGCTTATATTTAGACTTGGTTTCTCATGGTCCAGCAATTTATAATACATCATAACATTAATCATCCTCAATCAATATACAATTAATTGATAAAGGACAATGTAAGTGCCATAAAAACTCCACTGTAAGCACAGAAAATGGAAAACACAACAGTGCTGCCTAGAACACAGTCCATGTCATATCTTAGCCTTAGCAATATAATCTGGCCCTTCTGGTTTTGTTCTCTGGAAAATTTTTCTTTGAAATAGTCTGTGTTTGGCTGTGACTTTTAGCTGCCCACTTCCTGTTGTGTGAGTTTGGGGGACCTGGGATTGCCTAAGGTTTAAACATCCCTGACTTACCAAAGCTCTGAGTTCTAAAGAGATAACTTCAGTATGCTAGACATTTAAAAGAAAGCAATATTGTCTACATTTTACAAATGAGGAAACGAAGGCTTGGAAAGATTAGGAATCTTAGCCCGTAGTCACAAAGATACGAGTGACAAGAACAGTGTCAGAATCCAGGTATATTTCCTTCTGTCAGCATACTATCATCCCAATGTACTCTCTACAAATTGGCTTTGTTGGTAGTGCCTATATCGGTAATTATCAAAACTTTTATTTCTAGCAACAGGAAGTGGAAACCCATGGTCACAACCCCCAACCACGTTTTCTAAACTCTTATCTTTAAAGGGGGACCAAAGTAATGAAACTTCTCAATTTGTCCTGTAGGGGCCACTTTAATCATGGAATATTTCTTTTGAGTACTACAACCCTGATCTTTCAAAGCTGAAATAGATCCGAAATTCTAGAAGGCAAAGAAGTTTGATGCGTCAATGTACGCAGCCAACAGGTCAGTGCTAGGATCTCTACACATGTGTTTAGTGATTTATCATTAAAATAAATGAGTTAGGACTCTGTTACTTTCTTTAAAATATATTTATTGGATTTTAAAAATAATGAATACATTTGTATGACTCCAAAATTGAAAGGAATAAGAGAATATTTAGTAAAAACAAAAACAAAAGCTCCCTTTCAATCTTGTTTTATCTGGTAAGTCCTCATGCCTGCTTCCTAAATATGTAACCTCTCTTTGTTTTCTTGCATGTCCTTCCAGAGATTGACATGTACATGAATACATATTTTCTGTCCCCTTCCTTTTATACGAGTGGTAGCACAAAATTAATTGATTCACCAAACAACATATATTAGAGTATTCCACTTCATGGTTGTACCATACTTCATTTAACCAGTCTCTCTTGATGGACATTTAGGCTCATTTATATCTTTTGTTATAAACAATACTATAATGAATAGCCTCATACATATATAATTTTTCACATGTATAAGTATATTTGTAGAATAAATTTCTAGCAGTAGAATTCCTGGGTTTAGTCCATGAATTTTTTATTTTAATAAACATTCTCACATTGCCCTTTATAAACACTGTAAGCAACTTATATTTCACTGACAATGTATGAGGGTACCCACTTTCTCACAGCTTGGCCAACATAGCCTGTTACTGAACATTTAGATTTTTTCAAATCAGATAGGTGAAAATGGCATCTCTTTCCATTTTAATTTGTTTCTCTTGTTTTGAGCAAGATTGAGCAACTTTTCATAAGTTGATGAGAGACAATTGAAAAAGTCAGAGGACTTTTACAATTGCAAGTGTCTGAAAACCAAACACTATCAGGCTTAAAGAAAAACTGGTGATATTTTTTATAAGTTTATGTCGA